CCGGCCCTTCGCGCGTCCGCTGCCCCGCTGCCCGACGCGCCCGGGGCGGGGGCGTCAGCGGCCTGGCACACGCAGGGCCCGGCGATCCCGCGGAGACCGGCCGGGGGGGCTCCGCCGCTGACGGGCCCGGTGTGCGCGGCCCGCCGTGGCGGACGGAGGGGGGCCCCGGTGCGCCGGGCTGCCGGTCCCCGCGCGAGCGCCGGCTGGTTGGGCCGCCTGCCCGCTGCGCCTCCCCGCGGAAGCTGCGTGGGAGGGGAGGCCGCTCTTCCAGCTGTGTTGGACTGCAAGGCCCGACATCCCCGGCTTGCGGTGGTCGGGGAAGGCTGCTGACTCTCAACGGAAGCGGGGTGCCCCGAGGCGCCTTTTTGCCCGAGGCGGCACCGGCCCCTTCGCGGGGTGCCGCATCCTGCCCCCGCCTCCGTGTGCGTCTCTCGAGGAGCCCCACTGGCGGAGCGGGTGGCGCCTCGGCCTCCTCGGGGCCAGTTCCGCATCCTCGGGAGGCCTCCATGAGTCACGGTGCCTCGGCCCTGTCCTGTTGCAACAGGACTTCCCGCCCCGACCCGCACTCGCAGATGTGTCTCCGGAAAGGTGATCCTTCGAACAGTTTGTCCGGTTGCCCAATCGTCCCTATAATTAGGAAGTGTTTTGATGCTGCCACCGCAGCTTCTCGGATCCTTCCTGTTTGCCCTTTGCCGATGCTCTTTCTGCGCTTCTCAAACCCCACAGGTCATCGTGGAAAAAGCGCCCAAGGCTCGGATAGGCGACCTGGACAAAAAGAAATACCTTGTCCCGTCAGATCTCACAGGTATGTGTGCACCCGGTTGGCCGAAGTGGCTCTGGGTGCAGGTGTGCGAGGGGGAGAGGAGAGGCGCACAAGGCTTGGGGCCAGAGGTTATGCGCTAGCTCATCCTTTCAGAAGGGGCTGTGGGGGGTGCATAGGGGGAGCTGCACAGGAGCACTTGCTCGTAGGCATTTGGACCCATCTCCGCTAGGCTGTCGCCCTCCCAGGACCACACAAGTCCCACCCCATCCGTGGCAGCGCCTGAGGAAATTCCTCCCTGGTGCACCTTGCTTTCAAGGTCCTGCTTGGGTTCATGTGCTTCTTTCCGCCGCTTTGGCTGACAGGCCCTCCCCTCTTTGTATTCTTCAGTTGGGCAGTTCTACTTCCTGATCCGGAAAAGGATCCACCTTCGAGCTGAAGACGCGCTCTTCTTTTTCGTGAACAACGTCATTCCCCCGACCAGCGCCACCATGGGGCAGCTGTACCAGGTGGGTCTGTGCAGCGCGTCCCGTGCACGTGGGGCCAGAAAGGGCCCGGCGCGTCTTCCTCACGTCTTGGAAAGGGCACAGAAGGCAACTTGCAGCAGTTTTGAAAACAGCCACGGAAAGAAAAGCATCACTTAAAAGTGAAGGTAGAGCAGGTGGAAAGGACAGCTGGAGAATCTGAAAAGTGAAAATCAGGCTTCCTTGGGGCGAGCGGGGAAAATTTCCCGCAAAAGCTGCTCTGACAGCAACGTTGAGAAAAGGTCCCTGTCAAGATTGGGAGTAGCAGGGCCACCCCGGTAAAAGCGAGAGAGCTCTTGGCGGGCGTGGACGCGATTGTGCGGGAGCGGGCTGGGGATCCTCTTTCAGTCTGTTGGCTGTATTCCATTTTGGAGAAGGCCAGTGTGGAGAGAGTGTCCGCTGTGGGGTGGGGTGCTGAAGGCCCCCAAACCCCCCATACAAGCCTGTTTTGGCTTCTTGTTCTTTCTGCCCCTTAGCGGATATTAGAAGAGTTGTTTGGTTCTTCAAGAATGGGAGAAAACCTAGGGGACACCAAAAAGTTTTTGGCCGGAGCGATCGCTGGTACCCCCGATGGACCCTGGGGCTAAGGCTGCCCCTCCCTGCTGTATGGGGGAGAGAGCGGGGCAGGTGGGGGGAGAGGGCGGTGAGCAGGTTGAGGAACGGCCCCGGGCCTCACCCGCCGGACAGCAACAGGTCCGAGCTGGCGAGGGGCCGTTGCACAGCCAGGCCAGCTGGAGCTTCCCCTTGCGCAAGGTGTGCCCCTCGCAGCCGCGGCCCCATGCTCGCCCGGCGTGCGCCCAGGCTGACCGTGCCCCCTTCCTCGCTCCCCCTCCCTTGCAGGAACACCACGAGGAGGACTTCTTTCTTTACATCGCCTACAGCGATGAGAGCGTCTACGGCAGCCTGTAGGGCCTGCCCAGCCGCCGCCACCGCCGCCGCCACCGCCAAGGGGCCTGCGCTCCTGAAGGGACCTGCACTTTTACGTTGTTGTTTGTTGTGGATTTTATGTTAAAGAGCCTTTTGCCCCGGGAAGGGGCAGGTGGGTTTTCTCTTTTTCTGGAATGCTCCTCTCCCGCCCTTTTCATTTCTTTGCCTGACACTGACACTTCTTCCTCCTGCCCCACTGCTCTGACCCGCCCCGGGCATTCCTTGAGGTGGCCAAAAGAAGATACCTCTCTCCTCTTGCGCTCTCTCCTCCCTCCCCTGTACCTGGTTTTTCACCTCCCTCACCCGGCTTTTTTTCTTTTTTCCCATAAGGGGTAGGATCTCTCAAATCTTCAGCAACAAAAAATTCCTCCTTGTCTCAATCTTACGACTTCTCTACCCCCCCCCCCAGGGGGGGTTGCTCCCGCTGGGGTTGTGCACTGCCTGGCCATTTCTGTAACCAGATGGGGTTGGGAATGCTAATTAAAAACATAAGGCGAAACCCAAGCCTCTATACTGATTGATCAAGCTATTGACTGTAATTATTTATATCCCACCTGTCAAGATAAAACCCTGTTGGGGGGGCCTTGCCAGTAAAAGAACATTACATTAATAAAAGCCGTTCTCCAGCAGCGCCAAAAATAACGTGCAGAGGTCTGTCCCACGGGGCCAGCTCTGCAGGGGAAGGGAAGGCAGCGCAGCGATTGCTCCTGGCTATCAAGCCGCCGGGGTTGTTGCGTCGTGCGGACCCGGAGCAATTCCTGCAGGGTGGATGATTTGAGGGGAACAGGCCGGCCCAAGCAAGCAACCCAGGGCTTGTTGGGCCCACAGAGGGTCGTTGGGTTGTCCGAACCCAGGTGACCTGGCCTGTCCTGGGTTGAGAGAAGTGGCTAAGGAGCCACCGCTCCGCTGCCGTTGGTCAGCCAAGTCCCGGGCCGTGGCTGGTGTCACCCAGTGCCCAGGCAGCACAGCAGGGCGGCTGTCCCCGGACCAGGGCTCCCCCACTGCTGTGGGAAGCCCTCTTGTGTTCTCTGTGCCCCCCCCCGCCATTCCTCACTTCCTTTTCTGTGACTTCGGACCCAAGAAGCACATCAGAGGGGCCGTTCCCGCTTCCTTCCTTCTTACAAAAAATAAAAAAGAAGAAAACTGGTGCAAGAAACTAGTGCAAATGTTTTTACATGTTCTCGATGTCAAGTCGGACTCGCAAAAGTTCCAGTCGGGAATAGCGAGCCTTGTGTGGGCAATTCCGAAGGGGGTGTCTGTGTGTGAGTGCTACCGGCTCCCAGGATCAGTGTTGACCCTGAGAGACTGCCAGGGGGTGCTTCCCCCCTTGCTTCCTCTTGACAGTTCTCCAAAGGCTCTCGAGACAAACCCAAGCTCTGGGTCGCCTCTGCTCACGAAAGGCAGCGGCCCTCTTGGTGCGGTCTTTGAGGGTACTCCTTGGACCCGATTCTTGGCACTTGCCTTGCAATTTTCCACACTTTCCTGGGATTCTCGGGGCTCGGAAGAGTGAAAAAATCCAAGCTGGATGGGAGCACAGGGGGAAGGTTTCTTTGCATGGCTCTTCTGGCAGGAATATCGGAATCGAAGCGAAAATGAGCTGGTGGGGAAGCGCGGGCCTTCCTGGGCCAGTGCTGATGGGAGGTGCCTTCCTGGGCCAGTGCTGATGGGAGGTGCCTTCCTGGGCCAGCGCTGATGGGAGGTGCCTGCTGCGGTTTGGCACTTTGGCAAGGCGAGGCTGCTAGCTGTCAAACTGGAGGTGGCAAAAAGGCCACCCCCCCGGGGGGGGGAAGAGGGGAGGGATCAGAAGGGGGCTGGAATCCCCTGAGAGGACTGTGGGGGAAGGAAGTGGGAGACGGCCTGCAGCGGGCCACACCGTCCTGGCGTAGGTTCTTCCTGGTGGGCTGGCGTGGCCCGTGATGCCGCCTCCCCTGCGCTCTCCTCTCTGAATGAGGATCTTCCCCTCGGGGCAGTTGGTGGTGCCGTCTTGATCTGTTGCGCAGCCGAGGAGAGCGGCAGGGCACGGGCTTTCCGTGCTGCCAGACCTTGGCGAAATCCCTGCTGAAGGAGCCGGGTGGCGTGTCGGGCTGGGATTTTGGCTGGCCGAGCCTGCGCGAGAACGGCTCTGGCTGTTTCCGCCCTGGCGGTGTGGGAGAAGCCGGGTACGAGGGGAGTGCCAGCGGCAGACACCTGCCAGCCGGTCCCGCGGAGCCACATCCCCTCTTGGCTGTTGCCCTCTCTTCACCTGCCTTCACTCTGGCCCAGGTGATGGAGAGGAAGAGGAGGGGTGGGGGCCGCCCCTGCCTGCTTGCCCACGAGTCGCGCCTGTCGAGCCGGGGACCGATTCCAGGGCGGGTGCTGCTGGTGGCGAGGCAGCAGGTGGGGCGACGGGCCCTGCGTGAGCGAGTGCCTTGCTCCGGGGCCGCGGGATGGCAGCACCAGGGAGGGTCGTGGCCTTGCTGTCCAGGACCAGATCCTGGGCGTGTGCTCTCCTCGTGGGGAGGAAGGGTGCCGCTGATCCTGGCGGCGGAGGATGGAGCCCTCTTGGCAAAGGAAAGATGGCTGCTGGATCCCATGAAGAGGACCACAGAAGGACCCGCGAGTAACCCGAGTGCGCTCACCGGATGCTTTCGACTCGGGGAGACGTGGCGTGGGGGTGGATGAGGCATGGCAGCTTCCCGGCTGCGCATGAGGCGTCTCCAAGGCGAGCCGGAAGGGAGGAGAGCCGGAGAGGCGGCAGGGGGCCCTCTTCCCCGGCAGTTTCTCCCGCCCAGCCAGGGGAGATGCGCCCCCCGGGATGAGCCCGTGAGGGCGTCGCTTGCCGTCTGCGGGGGTCGCCTCCGCGCAGCCCTCGCTCTGCAGGGAAGAGGAGGGAGAGTGTCCCCGGGGCTCAGTCCCTCGTGCCGGGGCGCCCCGCGCAGCTGCCCTCGCCCCGCTCCCCCTCTGCCCCCTGCCCTCGGGAGTGCGCCGGGGCCCCTGCACATCTGTTCCGCTGGCCTGCGCCCTCGGGGGTGGCAAAGCGCGCGCGCCGGTGCGAGCAGAAAGCGCGCAGGTCGACGTCCCGCCCGGGCACTCGGGGCTGCCAGGATCTTACCCTTCTGGGGCACGTGAGAAATGCCCCGGGGGTGCTTCGCCGCTCGCGTCCCTTTTAAAGCGCCGGTTGCTCTGCCCCGGCTGCAAAAGCAGAAGCCGAGCGCGGCGGCGAGGAGGTTTCCTGCCCCAGGAAGCGCCAGAGGCTCCGCCGCCGCCGCCGCCGCCAAGGAACCCGGCTGCGGGCTTCCAGAACCGGCGCTGAGCGACGAGGAGCGGCTGCCTCTTTCCGGGGCGGGCTGGCGCTCGAGCCGCCCCGTGAGTCCCCGGCGGCGCCTTCCCCGTCCCCAGCCAAATTCCCTCCAGATGGGTAGGGACTGCAAGTCCCATCGACCCCAGCCGGCGTGCCAGGGGCCGGGCATGAGCCTCGTCCCTCTTAGACGTGGTGGGACTGCCTGTCGGGGACGATGGGAGTTACAGTCTCAGCACTGCCCGAGGTCACCGGGTTGGTCGCTTTCGCAAGCAAACAAACTACAGCTCCCGAAATGCTGTGCGTCCAAACAGCCCCTCTTTCCCTCCTCCCGACGGCGAGGAACCACAATCCCCAAGATGCACCTCTTCCCCTTCGGGGGTTTGCCGGGAAGAGGAGGGGAGGGAGGGCGGAGGGCGCCGCCGCGCGTGCGCGGCGCGGCGCCTGACGGGGCGTGTAGTACGGCCGGCGCTTCCCGTGCGGCCAGGCGGGCGGTGCGGAGGACTCCACGTCCCGAAGTGCTCGGCGGCGGCAGAAGCGGCGGGGCCGGAGGGAGGGGCGGGGCCGCGAGCGGGAGGGGCAGGAGCAGGAGCGAGCGGGGGGAGAGCAGCGGCGTCGGGCGGCACCGGAGCCGAGCGCGAGGGGCGGCAGCAGCCAGGG